TCAGAGAGCATTTCAAAGGCGTAAGCATTTACGCATAAAGATATTTAACGTTTTCCAACTATTATATTGTGGAAGCGATGTGCGATAAACTTACCTCCTCGTGGTGCACCCTGGGCAACGTAAACTCACACGGCAAAAAAGTCTATTAACTGGCAGCAGACTTCTCTCTTCAAGCTACCATCACCTCACTGCATGTCATAATCGACTACTTTCACAGTACTTATCTCACCTTTTCTCTACCTTTGTGTCTGTCTCTTTTACATTTTTGAAACACTCTTCTGTCCCCCCCCCCCTCTCGACTATTTTCACTCTGATGTTCCTCTTCCCCTCTGTGAAGCCCAAAGTCAACTAAAGGTCTAATGATAAATATCAAAACGCCTTCCATTTGATATAAATAAATAAATATTGTGGAAGCTGAATCATATTCTTCCGTTTAATTTCCCTGAGATGTTCATTTTCAAAGAAGTTTTAAAAGTCACTTTTAATGCCCTCTCGATTATAAGACACTTTTGAGGAAAAAAAATAATTTCTGATTACAAAGTTTAAAAGGCGTTGTTCAACTAGAATTTCTTGACATGATTTATTAACGCAATACCGGCTGTACTAAATTATATGCATCATTTTTCATCTTCTTATTTGAAATATTTGTTTAATATAGTTCTTATATTAAGATTTTTCGTAAATGTGAATAAATTCAGCATTTTAACACATTCTAGAAAAGGATTTTACTTGACACTGTATGTCATATGAAAAATGTGACGTTGTTTGCAAACATTTTTAATAATTTTTTTCGCAATTCATGTTTTAAATTTTAAAAATATATATGGGGCCCGTTTTCGAATTTACTGGAATCATAAATAACTGAACATTTAATGAACCCCTGGAGAGTCTAATGGAATTTAGATATTTTTTGTGCTTTTGCCTAATTAAAATAATATTTTGAACTTTGAATACTGTGTATAAATAATATGTAGTAACAATGAACTTCAACTTATAGGATATTTAAAAAAACCCTAAACTGATGACTTTCTTCTATGTATATTTTGGTGAGTGGGGTGCGCAGTAGACTTACCTCCACATGGTGCAACCTGGGCAACGTATACTCATACGGCAAAAAAAGTCTATCTGACTTCAAACTACAATGGCCCGACTCTTTGTCATATTCAACCCCTTTCACAGTACTCATCTTAGCTTTTTTATGCCTTCGTGTCTGTCTGCCTCTTTTACCTCTGTGAATCATTACTCTGTCTCCCATCTCGACCTTTTTGTCACTTCAATGTTCCTCCTCCTCCTCTCTGTGAAGCCCCGAAGTCAGCTCCAAGGCTAATGATAACTATCAAAACGCCTGCCATTTGATATAAATAAATTTAAAAAATTTGGTGAGTTGTAATTGATTATGATTTCTAAATGCCTTCTTTGTTATATCATTCTAATATTCGTTTTAATAACACTAGAGATAGCAGATATATCAGCAGAAGTCCTATCAGAATATCCGAAACCTAATTTTATTTGCTAAATGATGATGGAATTATGGTGAACAATGGGAAAAATAATGTTTTACAGAAATTATATATATCTTTAAAGGGAAAAACTAACTACTTAAACGAGCTAAGAATATGTCTAGACGTTTTGAGAAATTTGATGATAGTCCAAAATATCGAAACCTTATTTTTGCGTAGATCACCGCTGTTTATTCAGCGCAATTTAATTCTCTGTGAGCGAATAAAATTAAGAATGTCCATCAAATTAGAAACAACTCATGAAAGCTAAATGAAAACAGCTTAAGTTCAAGGAATTATTATCGTCTTAATGAGGTCGCATCCAGTATAATAACTATGTTTACTTGCATTATAATAATTCTGTTTAATGTTCCCTATGTGTCTTTTTTCAACTCCAACTAGATATTTACTATTAATTTATTCTTTATTAAGCCAGTTGTGTTTATTAAATACGTACGAACTAATATATCGTTATGTATACTCTTATTATTGCGGTTTGATTAGGCATATTTATGACTAATGAAATAACCTAGACAATGTGGTTATAGCTTGCCAACGTTAGAAAAACTATATTTAATATAGAGAGCAGTTGCCAAACAGCACCTGACGATTAGTGATCATTGACCAGGTAGAAAACAATAACTACCAAAGGAAAATCTAGTCATAAGGGGAAATAATTGTCATACCTATTAAAACAGGCAAAATTCTACCATTGAAACCCATTATTTAAGCGTAATTTAGATTTTTTTAATTTCTTGGATTTGTGAATATTTCGAGGCTCTCCAGTTGTTAAATCCCAGCTTTTGAAAATTCTGTTTCTTTAGACAATTCCAGGTTGAAGCATCCCCATTATCTAAATCAAATGACGTTTCAATAATCAAATCATAATTGTTAAAAATGAGTTTTGAACATTTATATTTTTTCCGGCTACCTTACAAACGTGCGTCTGACCACTTTTGTGCTTTCAGATAGCCCTAATCTGCGTGATCATGTTTTCTCACATAAACACAATTTTCAAAGGAAAGGAACATTGAGCATTATTTTAAAATAGATATAAAAATTAGAAATAATTAATTGGCATTTAGCAGCAGAATAAAAACATGAATTTTAAAGAGGACATAAAAATAAGCATGGTATACATTAGGACAATTTAAGATGTCATTTGTTACGAAATATGTTTTAAATTGCTTGTTAAAGTAATATTTTTATTTTTCAAAGAAAAAACAGACAAAATTAATTTAAGTTCTTCTGGATGGACATTCAAGATGATCTAAATCAAATTCTAAGTATAAAGAATGTTCTATTTATGTTCTTAGGAAAGAGTTCTATTTTTATTTCTCCCATTAAATTCGAATGAAAGAAAATAGAACATAGATTGATCAATATGCATCATCAAATCGATTGTAATTTTGAATAATTCATGCATTTTATTTGTAAAAATAGAAAACTGTCACAAATTTTGAAGGGCAGTTTTATAATGGAAAATGATTGAATGAGAGTAATAATAATAAAAAACTTGAATAAATTTCAAACTAAAATTTTAAGTAGATGGTGACTGGATTATTAAGAAAAGACTGAAATTGAGATCATAAGATAATTTCATAAATTTATTGATTATTTAGACAATCCTGCTTATTGATATACTACGTGTTAATCAAATAACTATTATAAGTTGCAAGAGTATAATGCAGACCAAAAGGCAACCAAATAAATACATTTTTTAAAATTATTTAAACAATTTAAAATTCGTGTTCTAAAACCTGTTATAAATAAGACTTCAAAAGTTTCAAACTTTATTTGTGTCAACTGGATCACTAAGCCGGTTACTTTGATTCAGGACATGGTATGCCTTTAATGCTTCTGATTTAACTGTATTTTTATGAAGTTATTAACCTTTCTTAATATGTAGAGCCATAGAAAATTTTCAGCTCCTCGTCACGGCTCTTTGGGATTTACTCCCAAGAAACGCAGTCGTCGGATTCGCGGTAAATGCAAGGCCTTTCCTAAAGATAGACGATCCAAACCCCCTCATTTAACTGCCTTCATGGGCTTCAAGGCCGGTATGACTCACGTTCTCCGTGATGTCGACCGTCCCGGTTCAAAGGTGCATAAGAAGGAGGTTGTTGAGCCTGTTACCGTCCTCGAATGTCCACCAATGGTTATTGTCGGTATTGTTGGATATATCCATACCGCTCACGGTCTCCGCACCTTCAAGACGGTTTGGGCTGAGCATTTAAGTGAGGAGTGCCGTCGCCGCTTCTACAAAGACTTCTGCAAGTCGAAGCGAAAGGCCTTCACTAAGGCTTCCAAGAAGTGGGCTGATGAAGCTGGTCTGGCATCAATTAATGCCGACTTGAAAAAGATGAAGAAATATTGCGCAGTCATCCGTGTCATCGCTCATACTCAAGTATGCTTTAAATTTTAATGACTTAATTCGTTTGCTAGATGCGTTTAATGAAGCACCGTCAAAAGAAGGCGCATATCATGGAGATTCAGGTGAACGGGGGTACAGTTGCCCAGAAGGTTGATTGGGCTCGTGAGCACCTTGAGAAGCAAGTTCCAGTTGCAAATGTGTTTGCTCAGGACGAGATGATCGATGTGATTGGTGTGACCAAGGGTAAGGGATTCAAGGGTGTTACCTCTCGTTGGCACACGAAGAAGCTGCCTCGCAAGACTCACAAGGGTCTGCGAAAGGTTGCATGTATCGGTGCTTGGCATCCAGCCCGTGTTGGTCGCAGTGTAGCCCGTGCTGGTCAAAAGGGTTACTTCCACCGCACCGAGATGAATAAGAAGATCTATCGCATCGGTCTCGGTAAGCTCACTCATTAGCGAGATGAACTAATTAATGGTGTTTGTATGTGTAGGTGTCCAGGCTCAGATTGAGGCTGCAAAGATGGAAGCCGCCAAGGAGGAGAACAAGGAGCTTGCTGCCTTGATCAAACCGAAGGGCAACGCCTCAACTGAGTACGATCTGACTGCCAAAAACATTACCCCAATGGGTGGATTTCCGCACTATGGAGAGGTGAAGAATGATTACATCATGATTAAGGGCTGTTGCATGGGTCCTCGCAAGCGTGTTATCACTCTGCGCAAGAGTCTGCTCGAACAGACTAGCCGTAGAGCCCAAGAGAAGGTTGTCCTTAAATTCATCGATACTTCCTCCAAGTTCGGTCATGGGCGCTTCCAGACTCGTGCTGAGAAGAAGGCTTTCTTGGGTCCACTTAAGAAAGATTTGGAACGTCCAAAAGTTTCGGCATAACTTAAAATATAAATTTGTATATGGATATATGACTCTTTTTGGTGATCCGTTTTTGTGGGTTTTGATTTTTAGTTTTGTGACTTATTCTTGGTTTTTGGTTTCACATTCATGTTTACTTTGAACTGTGGGTCTGTTTGTATTCTTTACTTGTTGTAATTTGTTTTACTTAGTTTATACTTTTTTGGTTGTCATGCTTTTTGCGTTTTATATCATTTTAATCTCTGGTGTCGCTTGTGTATGGTTATCGGTGACTGAATTTGATTACATTTGTCCTAGATTTCCATTTTCTTCTTACCTGTATTTTGTTTTCTTAATTTTGTTACATTTTCTTTTTTTACCTATTTTGCCCGAGTTATTTTTGGAAATATGCTTTTTTCGGCACTCAAGCCTGTCTCACTTCAGTCATGTGTTGAAGTGATCCCAAGTGGCATTCGAGGCCTATTGATGTATTGAACATTTTTGGAGCATTAATAACGCCTTTTGCTTCGTGTTTGGTTCATATCGATTTTTGAAAAATCTGCTGTCCTTATTACGTTTGAATTTAATCGGTATAATTTTGTGGGTGGTTTTCATAAATTGTGACATGATTTATACCTCTGGCGTAGTTGGTTCCACTCAGCAGGAGTAATTTGGTGGCTTTGTTTTGGTGTCTGACATCTACATCATCGAGGGCAGGCTTGCAGTTGAAAATGTAGTATTGATTTATGAGATCGATACAGGTATAATTCTCTGCATGAGTAAAGAACTTAATGGTACTCCTTTCGAATGAGTTGATTAGGGGTTATGGGCCGTGCACGTATTGAGTGATTGGGTAAAAGTGGAAGGGATTTTAGGTACCAAGTGGGTTGGCTTGCATAATCGTAATTGTCTTGGTCTAAACATGTATGTGCAATTGGTTAGTTATGATTGAGTAAGAGGAGAGCAGATTTGTAGTTTTTTTGGGCCGTTAACGGAATAGTTAGGATTAATCAATTAGTTTAAAGGTTTGTGCTTTTCGGGTTCTCGAAATTAAGTCCTTTAGTGTAGCATAAAATTTGCTTGTTTCATTATAGGCCTCGAGTTCAAAATTAGTTGATACTACACATAGCATAAGCGATTGTTTGAGCTTTCTATTCTCTTGCACTATGATTGGCCTCTGAGTACTTTTACTTTGAGGTTTGCAAATGATTAATCTTCGATTAGAATTTGCTAGCATATTGGTAGGTGATGCTCTACGCCTATGGAGTTGTTAATTTCAAGAATCGGAGTCTTAGTCTAGTATTCGGAGATCAGTTTTCTTAGCGTTATTTTACGTCTGCCAATCAAACTTCTCCGCTCTGGTCTAAGCGCTTGAAAGTCTTCGGAGACATTTGCTCACCGTTTGGACTAGATTTCACTTTCAAGAATAGGGTCCCTTAATAATTTTCTGGGTTTGATTGATAAAACGCGCCAACGCTTAGTGCAGAAAATATGCCGTAAGGTGTTTCACTAATGTTGGAACTGGTGGGAGTATAACAGTGCTCAAGGTACCGTTGATCATCAACGGTCAAGTTAATTGTACCCATCTGGAACTTGGTCCGTGTGTTTACAATAAAATCTTTGCACTCATCTCCCTACCCAAACCTGTATTAAATTTTCCGCATTCTTTCTCCGAGCCCAGGGTCTGAACGGGTTGTTGAAATCAAAGCCATCACTAGCTATGAAAAGACATACACACTTCTCCATTTAGTTGTACCGGAATCTAAAAGGTAGCATCCACTTTCATCCCGCAAATTAAAAAATAACTGAAATAAAACTGAGGTTTCAATCTTTGGTTGAGAGATTTCACTGACTACTCATGATGTACGCGAAAGTTTACTAATATTGGTCACTAGGATTACCTAGGTATCGCATTGGTTTCACTTCTACGCTCGTCCTATAGAATCCCTTAGCAATGATCGTTGCTCTATCCCTGCGTGAATTGTCACTTATATTCATTTCTTCTAATAACTCCATTCATTGTTTCTTGTATGCTATTATATTTCAATTCATTCGCCTACTGATCAATTGACAATACTAATTCTAACATTACTAATAAATCACTGGAATTAAGCAAATACAATCAAGGAGGGAATTCAAACAAGCAGTGGAGTGTCGAGGCTCGCATATCCAGTGACAACTCCGCCTTCATCTACTCCGACAAACTTTGTTCGCAGAAGGTGGCCAGCATGATCGTTCATTATTTCAACTTTGTTGTCGCTAAAAATGAGAAACCAAGAGACACATTGAATTATCGACGAGAGAACAGTGGGAGTCCAAGTCACTAAAAATGAGGGTACAAGACTTACCTGAGCAGAATCCCGTAGATACCCAATTCTGAGACCATTTTTCTCGGGATTGGTGGTGCGTGATCGGCTCCAACAACGCAATTTTCGACCATGAGGGGTTCGAATTTCTCCATAAGAATGTATGCGTTGGCTTCGGGTTTGCCCATTATTTCATCCAGTTTGTGTATGATATCGTCTACAAAAGGCAAATAAACGAACTAAGCGTGTAAAGAACGTAAAGGGAAGAGATGAAAGTAGGAGTTATGTGCACCTAATGCTCATTTGCTATTCAGGGCATGGAGTTACAGTTGACAACTAAGAGAATCTGGTTCAAGGTCACTTGAAATTATCTTGACATAATGTCTGTCAGGGTAGTATATACTGATTCGAAGCGTTAATCATCTCCGAGCTACGATATGCGATGATCGATTTTAGTTCTAATGAACATCTATCTGCTTCAAAATGAGTGCTCCAGAACCTTCTTACCCCCCCCCCCCCATATGTAGTTGTTCGCCTCCCAGATTTCTTTGTTTAATTCTCCATTAGCATAATGAAGGCCTCTTCCATCTAAATTAACAGCGACCTTTCCACTAACTTACAAACTACCTCCCTCTGTCAAACACGTCGGTAGTAAAGCCCTTGATTGACCCAAATCATGATAAGGAGTCTGTTAAGATTTATTTTCATGAAAAGCTTTCCAAAGGCACCGACTCATTTGAGGCATATTCTAAATAGACATATTTTGTCGACCTATCAACTTCTAACTTGTAATGGTGGATACCGACAACACACACTTGGCACTTCTTGTTTATAGGGTAACTTAGAAAAGTTTTGTGATGATTTCAGCAGATTCGTGATGCCTCGATGTAACTTGTTATTCCCATCAAAAGGCTTCAAAATTATGAAGAGAATTAGCCTTGACCTTCTAGCTACCTGTTTTGGGTATTGTGGCAAACTCTAACAAACTAGATTATTTCAAATGGCTAGGTTAGCTTACTATACTGCGGTCTGAGGATAGGGTATTCTAGAGAAAACACCGTGTGACCACAGAAGGAGGCTATATTACAATCGCTTTCAAGTGGAGTATATCTAATGCAATAACAGGCACCCACTATGTAGCAATAGAGCGATTAGCTGTATCACAATCCAGCGGATATAACTGCCATAGCCGGAAGTAATGTAAAAGTCTCAAAAATTTTAATTAGTGCTGATATATAATGCTCATTGAGAAACCAAAGGTTGTTCTTCCTAGAATACCTCTTTAATTATTTTTAACTAATAATGCCTTCGGTTATTTAATGTTAATTAATAAAGGAAGGCTCCTTTACGGGAATGTTAATCTTAGAAAGTCACCGTGCTAACACAAAATAACTACTGAGCACAAGTTGAACCATTGACACATTTGAATGTAGAATCACGAACAGTGGGGTGCTAGTAAAAATAGTATGACAATTCGTTCCATTGAGGTGAACTAGAGTTCAATGTATGCGATACTGTTGATAAAATTAATGAGTAGTATCATACTTACCTCCGAAGATATTATTACTACCCCCTTCTCTTTGAGGCTTCAGAACAAATTTGTTGGGATCTTTCCTGCATTCAGTCACCATATGATCGATAACAGCAGCGTCGGCAAAATGAAAATCGGTGGAGAGTACTGTCTGTTTGGCGAAGGTTCTAGCCAACCTCTCCACCTCAGCTTCATTTCCAAAGCGAGACAGCACAGCTGGACCCGACGCCAGCGCTGTCTGAACTAACTTCATGTTGGCCAAAAGGTAGTCTACTGAGGGACACTTAACTGCCAGACTTCTCTCAAGTAGTAGTTTCGTTCTCCAAGCCTATAAAGGACAAAAAGGCTAACAGTCAACGAGGTGTTCGAAATAGCTAAACACATGGGCCCTTATTTTTTGTGTTATTATCCATAGACTTAAATATGTTCAGCGGGAATTACTTCCACGTGGTGCACCCTGGACAAAGTATACTCATACGGCAAACAAAGTCATTAAACCGGTAGTTGACTTCTGACTCCAAACAACCATGACCCCATTGTATGTCATATTCCAAAACTTTCACAGTACTCACCTTACCTTTGTCTCCACCTTGTCTGTCTCTTTTGCATATGTGAATCGGAGTGCGCAGTTGACTTACCTCACGTAGTGTACCCTGGGCAACGTATACTTATACGACAAAAAGTCTATTAATCGGCAGTTGACTTCGGACTTCAAACTACTATGACCGCACTGTATGTCATATTCAACCATTTCCATAATACTCATCTTACTTTTTCTATGCCTTTGTGTCTGTCTGTCTATTTTACATCTGTGAATCACTCTTCTGTTCACCTCAGTCTCGACTTTTGTGACTATGATGTTCCTGCCCTCTGTGAAACCCGAAGTTAGCCAAAGGGCTAATGAAAGCCTGCCATTTGATATAAATAAGATATGTTCAGCAGATTGTAATATTTGGATTAATTCCCACCGAATGGTTGCTATTCGCTATTCCCATTCGCTCACCATTTGGGGAAATGCCTAGTAATAGAGCAGAATAACTATCCGTATGCGTAAGAATGGGAAGCTTTTAATACACGGTAACGTTAAAACGGCCATAACATATTAAGAGTTATTAAATTCTAGCTAGCTAGCCATAGTGACTAAAGCAGGAGGATGACTTTGATTAGAGATTTCTGAGTCTTTTCATATGTTCAAAATACGCAATAGATCGATTTTGCACTCCCTTTGACCTTGGCAGGGAGTATCTGCAGTGGTCTCACTCACTATGCACAGTTAGCTGTTCCCTTGAGTAGCTGAAACAAATATTCATAAGGGTTTGTCTAGTTTCTGTTTGCTTCAAGCGGTTCTCTACAAGACGCATTCATATGAACTTAAACCGCTCATCGGCTTTCCACATTGCTAATTACCTGTATTTTGAGCTTTGACCAAATGCTCATTCTCATTTTCGACCTTTCGCAGTACCTCTGCCATCTTCTACTAAAGCTGATCTGTCTCTCCAGTTGCTTCCTCTCTCCTGACATTGAAGTTCGTGAGCGATCCCTTAGCTCGTACTCTCTGTACTTCGCTTTTGATAGTTCCTCATTCGGGTGCTATGTGATGGGGGTGTACCCGCCAATAATGCTTACGCCAAGGTGCACAAATAATTTAAAATACCTCGATAGGAGGCCTTGGCAAGTCTTGGACCTAAAGTACTTCTTCACCCTTGCAGACACAGAGGTGTTTGAAAGTTCCCTAAATACAACTTCTCCCAATAAAGTAAGATTGGAAAAATACCCCCAAATAACTTCTAAAAAACGAGCAGTCCATCAACCAACGTTTTTAAACAACAACGGTGATGTGGTTATAAGACGAAGTTATACCAATTTTAGAATATTATACACAGTCCCTCTTCGATTACATTGGAATGGGAGAGTAACTATCGCGCAGTACAAAGTACCACACATCTAATTAGGAACAACCAGTTTCACCAACTAGGATGCCATTTCGATCGTCTCATTTAGCATTCATTATTGAATCAATTCAAATGACAAAAACCTATTGGAATAAATGACTACTTTATAGTGCTCTTCTGTGGACAATTTATGGCCGAATCGGAGATATTACACTAAAGTACAATGGCCATTAATGCGCGAGTTACATTAAGTAAACAGTTGGCCCACATAGAGTTTCAATATACAATCGTGCAATAGAGGCACGAAATAGGTTATTCACCTAACGCAGCACTTAATTACCGTTTCATCAACAGAGAGTAAGAAATTAAGGCGGAACTTCTACGTGAAGTAGCTTAGCTGTAAACAAAACAAATCGCAATTGGCTTATAGAGATATCCTAGATGCCTATTGAAAACGCAAAACAATTTTAAAGAAATACAACTTAAACATAGCATAGCCTTTCACCTTTAGGAGGTGTTAAGTAAATTATCTAAAATGGTTCATCAACGATTGATCTAAAACAAAAACATCTTACAAAATTTTCATTAATCATTGGATGTAATGCCACAACGCCAATTCTCCGGAGAGCTGAGAAGTCTTATAAGAATGGCAGAGATTGAGTTTAGTTAAACTGATATGTGATAGTAATATATCTTCAATTATACTCTGTTATGTAACTCTAAAGATAAGAACGGTGTTACCATGCGAACCTTAAGTGTGATGAATTCCAAGTGAACACGCTAATCAAAGCTTTAAGTCAATAATTCAACACAACACTGACTTCATTCGTACACTCTGGTCTAACGGGTACCCAAGACACAAAAAGTACAAAAAATGCTAGTAGTAAAATAATAACAATAATAATACTGACCTCCTCATTAAAGTGATCCGGAGCGTAACCAGTGCGGTAGTAAATAACTCCAATTTCATGTCCATCACTAAAACGCAATGAAGTGAATAGAGACATTCCCACGAAATTACTGATTAAATGCGATAAAAGAAGCTTACACAAAGAGCCGACGGGTCTCAGATTCTACGACAACTCTACCTTTGATCAATTCAAGCTCAGCAAAAGTGCGTCTCAGAATGGGAATAGAGGGGTTGGCGCGTAGAACAGCCTCCTCGATGCTGCGCTGATCAAAAATATTTGTCTCACAATCGGAAATCACGACTAATATGGCGGGGATTTCGGGCGGTAAAGGAATCAAGGTAGACTGGGGAATGTGCTGACATTTTCGTGAGTATTCGCCAACAGTATGAGCTAGAGCTAGCCCGAATTTTGTGGCTGATGGACATTCAGGTAGCTGAAAATTAAAATGGATTAAAATAACATGAATTGCCCTAGCACTAGTCGCTTTGTAATGTGTACCCTCTGCCTTTGCGCAGACTTTTAAATTTAACTGAAGCCTACTCAATTTTCTACATCATTCACTGTAACCTGGCATCCAGCAGCAATCTCAGTTAATGTTTACAGAGTGTAACCACCTCCCTGCCATCATCTTTACTAGAAAAGAAACATTGCAAGCGGTATGTCATACGAAAGTGCAGATAGTGAAAGTAATAAAAACTGAAAGTAACATTAATAAGAATCTCTGACTTACAAAATAACACTGATTACAAAAAATATAAATATACTTTCTACACTTAAAACTATGACTAATGTCAACAAATTTAATTTAAAAAACTAATGGCTTCTAAAGCACGAAACGTTGATTAGGTATAGATTTTATGATTTTTAACCTTCCTAATAATGTTGTAGAAGTTAGTACTCCTGCTCACTTCGTGATCAGAATGTGTCCATTAATTTTAAATAGAAGGTCAAAAGAGCGAACCCGCACCTGAGGAGCGTCGCAGCCCAATAACTGATGGAGTCGAAATTGATGAGCTTTGACCAGACGTTCCATTACACCACCAAAACTCGCTGCAATGAAATTCATCTCCACCTGTTTTAAAGGAGAACCAGGAAGAGCAGCATGAAGCATATAGTCTGAACGATTTAAAGACAGCCTTAGCGATTGAACGGGCCCAAACAACTGGTCAGTTTTGTATATTTCCCATAAATTTCGAACATAGTCATCCTGAGAAAGAACACTATCATGATGCATGATATGCTTAATGGGTAAAAATAGCTTACGGTTTAAAAACCGACTCTAGAAAATCATAATCGGAAGCGACTTTCAGGAAAAGGCTATTAAATGACTGTTGGATATTAACGGCCTCTTCAAATTCAGCTTTAGGAAACGGAGAAGGTAGAAATGTGTGCTGGAGAATAACAATACGACCATCCGGAGTTAGTTTTAAAATTCCTAAAAACTGATAATTAAAACCGAAGCCAACCTACCATTCAAAGCAGCGAGATCATATATATTCTCGAGGGTATGTTTGAGCTTATCTTCCGAAAACTTGAACAAAGATCGATCAATGAGATCCATTTGGTCTAAAATAATTAAGCACAGAAGATAATGGAAGTCAAAACTTATTTGTGAATTATAACGATCTGACTATCTTATTCCAGCTGAATAGTAATACACCAACGTCTACAAAAACTCACGCAGTTAACCTAAGCGCTACGATAGATTACTCGTCTTCAAGGTGCAAATTAACTTATTATAAAAATTAGCTAACTTGCACAACATTGATGGTAGCATTAAATTTTGTTATTCTTTTAATTTGTTATTGCCTTGGTTTTGAGTAAAAGTTCTGAATGAAAATTACACAGACTGCATACCTCAATAACTCAAATTAGAATTTCGAGAATATATGAGTGCAATTATAGGTAATTATTAATATCGTAGTTTGGTCGATGAAGCCAAATAAAGACGACACCTAAATTGTGATTTCATTTTTGACCACCAAATAAGTGGTGTTGACTTTTCAATCAAACTAATCGTCCAAAATTTGTGCGCCTAAAATTACTGGTTAGATTTGGGTCTGATGTCTCATCCAAGGAAAATCAAGCGCTTAAATAATCAACTTATTTATGTTCAGCAAGGTAATCATAATTTCCAGTTGACTGTTTTCTAGTTATTAATAATTTTGACGCACTTGACAAAAAAATTTAACAACATGTCTCAAAGCAACCATCGAATTCCGCTTAAGTGTGCTTATTAAAACAGTATAGTAAAAATTTACTAATTTTGCGATTTTGATGCTTTGAATAACATGCCAATCAAATATTTAAGGGTCTTTCCATGATCCAATGAACACATTGCATTCCAGATTAAAATATGCTCCTCCATTTATTACTGAAAATGAGCGAAAGGAACTATTAAGATATCCTAATATATTCGAATGTGGCTATGTGGGAGGTACGGTATCAAGCTTGTACTCTGTTTCGTAAGTTTAGAATTAGCATAATTCTTAAATGGAAATTTTATAGTATTTTTGAGAATATGAATATATGCAGCAAGAATAACTATTAAAATGAGAAAATACACCTTTATTTAAAAAATTTTGGAAGGTGATGTGCTAAAGTTTTAAAGGCATAAATTTTGCCAAATACCGGCTCTTAAAATTAGTACCACACTACATTTAAGTATTCGGTTTACCTTACTCCTTTCAAGGAATAGAATGACCTATAATGCCTTCATTATTCATATCTGAGCACCATTCCCTCAAATTAAGCATTCATTTTACGTAATTGATCGCGTACTTTGAAGTAATGTCCCGATGCTATATTGTGTCAATAATTTGGCATTGGAGTGAAAAATTGCATTTCTTCTCTTTTTGAGTTTTTGTTGTTTGCAATTTCGCTAGTAATTCCTAATTAATGCTAAAATGAATGGGGGTCTAGAACTTCATAGTACTTCTTATTTTAAGTTATTACCTGCAGTGTATATTAACTATAACCCTTCTTGTAACGCAAAATTTATTACAAAAAATATTTATTTTTTAGTACTTGATTGCTGCAAATAAGTGTTGGAAATACCATTAATATTTGTGCAAGGGGTTAAAAAATTAAATCACAACATTTTTGAAGAGATAGTCATATCGACGTCGTGTTAAATCTTGCAGATTTTATCCAAAATGAGCCTGAAGAACATGATTATATTTTGGGTCTCACTTCAGATTCCGAATTCAAATAAATGAAATATTTTAATATCATCAATCAGTTCTAGTATGAATTATAAACTAACAATGGCCTTTAACTCTTGAAGGAAACCTTAATTACTGCAAATACACAGTATCAAAACAATTGGATAGATATTGATGTGTAGAGCTAGAAATGATGTGTTTTTCTCGTGCTTTTATCTTAAAGTTGCCACAGTTATTGTAACGTATTTTAGAATTATTTTATCGAAAGCAAAACCTACATGTTCCAGTCTGTCGAGAAATAGCATCATGATTTGCAAAATGCTTCCTTACACTGAACCCAGCAAAAGCTAGCTGTACGCTCTGCTTTAATTGAATAACCCCGTAATGATGTCATTGGTTCATCTACCAATGCATGATCCTACTGAGTAGGAATTCTGGTTGGTTTGGTGCACCTGCGTAGTGGTCATTCGGACTTAAAAGGTCGAAATGACAGTCCATACAATATCGATTTACAGCCCAAATGCTAAATTAAATGAAGAAATTTACGTAATCGTTACTCAGTTTAAGCAAGTAAGGTGATTGAAAAAAGGTGTTTTCATGTATTATAGTTCTCATAACCTGGGAACCAAGTGCTGTTATATGCATTTCTCCTTGTATGTTAAATAATCCAAATAGGAAAATCTGGCAAAAATTGAGATATTTTTACTAAATCATATAAGTAGAAATACTGGAATTGAATTTCACTTTAAATTACATTCATGAGCTAGACGAAGATACTGAAAGCCTCATACGGACACATCCAGCATATCTGCTAAGAAGACAGAAAGGATGATCTGATTTGCCCTATTAAAATCCTCATCGGGGTGCAGACAGTGGTCTCTTTAAGCCTGCAGCCTACATTCAGTTTCCAATCTTTGCGTTTCTAAAAATCATGAGATAATTGCATGTTTTCGTCACTACTCCCAATTCAGCTGACCATTTCAATAATCCTTAAGCTGTAGACGAGTTTGAATTTCCACATATCACCTTCCATGTGGTTTTTGATCTGGGTCTGCTTTCGTCTCTCGACGGATACCTTTTCACAATAGGATTACAAGCTTTATTTTCACTGAAACAGAAAATCAATATAAAGCCTTTAACTTTCTAAGTATTCGCCGATAGAACCATTGTCAAATTACAGACCTATCCAGTCAGGAGCCACAGAATTGACGCTTATCGGTGCACATAAAGTGGTGATCACTAAGTTTGGTCAACACGTGAGATGTAGGATTTGAGTATATTTTGTAAATGAATTCATGAAACTACGCATTACCATTCTCATGGAGCTCAAAACAAATTCCATAATGCTTCTATATTTGGTAAAATCTAATGCGCTGATTATTATTATTATTATTATTATTATTATTATTGCTCTAAGACTCAAGCGTGTTAGAAGTGGACTTGAAACTTTGCAGGTCTAGAGAAAAGCAGAGTTAACCCACGAGGAAACCAAATTTGAAGTTCACTGTGGTCATCACTTGTAATTTTTGCCCCTAGGCACTTATCCACATTTCTCTCAAAACTTACCGACTTTATGTCCTTTCAAATTTACTTCCTTCATCTGGGGTGTGCGATAGACTTACCTCCACGTGGTACACCCTGGGCAACGTATACTCATACGGCAAAAATGACTATCAATCGGTAGTTAGCTTTTAACTTCAAACTACCATCATCCCACTGTATGTCATATTCGGCAACTTCCATAGTACTCACCTCACCTTTTTTCTGCCTTTGTGTCTGTCTCTTTTGCATTTTTGAAACACTCTTCTATCCCCCCATCCTCTCGAATTTCTGTTACTTTGATGTTCCTTCCCCTCTGTGAAACCTGAAGTCAACTAAAGGTCTAATGATAACTATCAAAACGCCTGCCATTTGATATAAATAAATATATAAACTTCCTTCATCTATATGATGGGCTTTAGTGAATGCCCAATTATACCCTACATTCCCTTTGGCATAGTGTACAGTTT